ATAACCCTCAAAAGTTTAGAACCTCCCCAGTGAAGTCGCCATTTTCTGTTGCGGTGGAAATAGGATCACAAACTATTAATGAGTTTGAATCGCAATTCAATTCACAACCGCTCTTTGATTTATCCGAAGGAAAATGTCAAAAGAGGGAAAACCTATTTTTGCATCGTAAACACAATGCGGGGAAAGATCTAGGGTTCGGGGGTTGGTTAAATTTAGGGAAGGTATTAGCACCCTAAACTTCTGTAGTACTCTACAGGAACCTTTTGTTCAAATGTTTACTATTTGCTTTATTTATTCTTAAGGTATATGTACAAGGGATTAAAAGTGAGAAAGGAGACCTAAGGGGTTAATTCTAAGTTTACTCGGCAAGACATCGCATCTTGTGCCTACGTATCCTTACGGGAGTGGAATCAGAGTAATCGTAGTTCCCCTCAAAAGGAGGTTAGAGACTTCTTGACTGTGGTCAAGGTCTCAAGGGGAATAAACGCATCTTAAGGACACGCTTACGTGGAGTGTAGAAACTCCAAATCTCTACGTTGAATTGTTAAGTTGAAATTAGGGTTAAATTAGGGATTCCACGGCGGGAAACCCTAAAATGAGCGCGGCGGCTCTTTGACCTAATGCTAGGGGTAAAATGGTAATCTTGCCTGCGGTGAGGCATTTGTGAAAATTTAGGGTTGAAAAGGTGTAAGGGTTAAAGGTGAGGATTATTGACACGGCGGTCAAACGGCTAGACCTAATTCCTTCGGAGGAGTGAAATTAATTATAAAGATGCGATGACATTAAATATACATACAACGGCAGAAAATAAAGTGCGGAAAGATAAATGCGACAATTGTCTCGCAAAATTACATCCCGTAAGCAGTTACAAATATGATAATTGAATATTTAAACTGAAAATAAAATCAATTGAACTTAGTCAGCTGCAAAAAATTAGACGGGAATGTTATTATACGGGGTTAGACAAAAAAATTAGACGGGAATGTTAGGAATTTAAGTAGAAAATTATAATTAACGAAACAAGAAAAAAAGTTAGAAATTTGGATCTTAAAAATGAGGATGTTAGCGAAAAATTAATAAACAATGAAAATTAATATGTAAAGAAGATGGCGATAATATACAAGTGATAATGGAACGATGATGTCAGATTATGTACAAATATAAAAATAAATACAAAAATAAATAAATAAATATTAGTGAACAGGTTCATGGATAATCAAGAATACTGTTAGGAATGAAGGATGAAAATTGAAATTGACAATAATTAGAAGTTAAGTGATGAACATTTTGAGACGATGAGAATTTAGGTAATAAGAAAAGAGTTAGAATGGAATTAGGTTTTTTTTGTGAGATTTGGAAAAGTTAGAGTTTTTAATGTGATTAAGAAAAAGAAAATAGATTAAAAGTTAGAATTAAAAGTTAGCAAAAAAATTAGAACTTCGAAATTTGGTTTTTAAAAAAAAGGTTAGAAAATAAAAATAAAAGTTTGAAAATAAAAGAGAAAAGGTTAGAATTTTAATAAAAAAAGAGTTAGAATGTTAGAATTTTAATTAAGAAAAAATGGTAGAAATTTTGAAAAAAAGATATAAAAAAGATTAGAAATTAAAAAAAAGAAGAGTTAGTTACTTTTGATGAAGACTGTAAGAGTTTTTGATGCTTGTCGATCCCCCCGTTTTGTTGCTTCTGAGGGTCTTTTTATACTTGATTTTTAAATCTTTTTCAATCTCAGATTTGATTTGAATATTTCAATCTTTTTCAATCTCTGATTTGATTTGAATGAATTTTTATGATGATTTCAGATTTGATTCAATGATGGTGATGATGATATCTGGATTTGATTTCCTTATGATGATGATATGCTCTGATTGATTTGATTTTGCTCCATCTGTGATTTATTGTGATTGGATTTGATTAAAAAAGTGTTGGATTTAAATTTAAAAAGTTAGCAAAGAAAATAAGAGTTTCAAGTTAAATAAAAATTAGAATTTTAAGTTTAAAAAAAAATGAGTTAGAATTTTAAAATAAAAAACATTTGAATGTTGATTTTAAAAAATGTTAGAATTATTTTAAAACGGTTGGAATTTCATTTTAAAAGGAATTTAGAATTTAAAAAAAAAGGATAGATTTAATTTAGAAAAAAAAGGTTAGATTTAATTTTTTAAAATAGTTAGAAAAAAAGATTTAATTTTAAAAACAAGTTAGAGAAAAAAAAAGATTTAATTTTAAAAGGAAGTTAGAGAAAAAAAAGATTTAATTTTTAAAAAGAAGTTAGAAAAAAAAGAGATTTAATTTTAAAAAGAAGTTAGAGAAAAAAGAGATTTAATTTTAAAAAGAAGTTAGAAAAAAAAGAGATTTAATTTTAAAAAGAAGTTAGAGAAAAAAGAGATTTAATTTTAAAAAGAAGTTAGAGAAAAAAAAGATTTAACTTTATAAAAGTTAGAAAAAAAGATTTAGCTTTAAAAAAGTTAGAAAAAAGATTTAGCTTTAAAAAGGAGTTAGAAAAAAAGATTTAACTTAAAAAAAGTAGTTAGAAAAAAAAGATTTAATTTTAAAAAAAGTTAGAAAAAAAAAATATTTAACTTTAAAAAAGTTAGAAAAAAAAGATTTAGCTTTAAAAAGGTAATAGAATTTGATTAAAAAAATGTGTTAGAAATTAATTAAAAAAGGTTATAAAAAATTTACTCTTGAAGAAAAGAAGAAAAAAAAAATTTTAAATTTTAATCTAAATCCTAAAAGTTAGTAAGAAGAGCTTAAAATGATTTAAATAAATAAACTAAATAGAAAAAAAAAGTTAATAAAAAACATTAGTAAAGTTATAAAAAAAAATTAATTAAATTATTATTAGTTAAAAAACAAGATTAAAAAAAAAGGTTAATTTATTAAGTTAATCAGAATTTAAAATAAAAATAAAAAAGAAAGGGTAAAATTTGGGGTATTACAGCTTTGATATAGTTAGAGTAATTTAATCGGACAACGATTACTCGAGACTTAAGAAAGGCTCCTCGGGCCCAAATAATCGGGAGAATGAGTCAAAGGCTTTACTCTCTCTCTTTTTCATCTAAGTATTTTAAAAAATAGATTTTGAGTTCGTTTATTGTAAAAATATTTTGATATAGAGTCGTATTACAAAGTTTTTTTTAGAGAAGACAATTGTTTGAACGTAAGAAAGACTCCTCGGGCTCAAACAATCGAGAAGAGGAAGCGAAGACTCCATTCCAATTCCCTTTTCATCTTTTCTTGAAATTGTGTTTAAGTATGGTTAAGTATATTAAGTTTACTTTGATAAAATGCTCGATGAGGATCGAGGTTTAAGTTTGCGTATGAAACGAATACGACTGAATTACTGGAAGGAGATCCTATGGGTGATTAGATAAGGTTGATGGCGATGCAAAAGCTCTCGACTTACAAAAGGGGTAAGAGGACTTGATATGAATAAAGTGTGCTTGAGAAGTTAGTAGTTAATTGTATTTATTGTCCGAAAAATACTTGACGTTGGATCAAGTTTATTGGTTTCTTTTGAAAAACATTGATTTTAATCTTATGAACCATTCTTGCATGTGATATGTGTAACAAATATCGTTGTACAAAGCCCAAGAGGAGGCTATAAGGTCTATGGCGATCGTGAAAACAATTGACTTACGAGGTGTCTAAAAATGACTTGATTTTAAATCAAGTTATTAGTTGGAAAGTGGGATTTGAACAAGCGTATGATGAATGACATAAATAGTTAAAGCATGATAATTACACACATGAACAAAGTAGAGTAGCATCACATAAACAAACATGTTAATCTAATTAGTTAGTACATTAAACAAACTAATTGTCTAAAAAAAGGAAATTACAAATTAATTGTTTTTTTAATTTTATTTAAGAAAGTAGTGATGATAATAGACTTGAAAAACCAATTAAATTAAACTTATAATCTTAATAAAACTAACTATTAAAACTAAATGATATTGAATGATAAAAGGACAAATAAAAATTAGAAAAATTATGAACTATAAAAGGTATAAATCTAATTAAAATAGGATAATTAAAATTTAAAAGTAAATTAAGATTAAAACAAGATTAAGCAAAATTAAAATAAAATATTTTTTTTTGTGCTTTTAAGACTTAATATGCAAACTTAATCCAATAAACAAAATTAGATAAAAAATAATTAATTAATACTAGATAAAATAAATAATTAATCGTCTGGGTTATTTTTAGGTTAAAAGAAAATATTAGTTAAACAAATTAAATTGATTATTTAAAAATAAACAAACAATTAATCAAATTAATAAACTAACTAATTATTAAAAATATTTTTAATTATTATTTTTTAGAAAGAAAAAAAAGAAGATGAAAAAACTAAATCAAATTGGGCCAAAATCTATTAGTAAAATGAGGGTGGAAAAACAAAATTCTCAGGCCCAAAAGAAAGACTAAGCCCACGCAAGGGGGGAGGGTTCATGATGATCCCTCAACCAATCCATTGACCCATGAGCACATCCCGAACATTGGATCACCAAGGAAAAACTTAATTCAAATCTAAGGGTGGATCACGAGGACACGCGGTATCGTGTATGGGAACGCATCTAGAGGATCTGGGAGAAGTGAACTCCCTTGTGACACTTGTTAGGGGAAGTGACAAGTGTCACCACCCCATTTTGGGGTCCAGCGGTGTCATAGAAGACACCAGTAAGTCTAGATGAAGGAGCAATGCATGGCTCATTTCCTCACTCCTCTTCAAAATTATTCTCTCTCTCCACACCTCTCTCTTCAAACAAAATGCCATCGAAAACCTAAACCGGCCGGAGAAGCCAGTGGCCAACACCGGTCGCCACTGTCTTCTCCGACAATACCAACCCCCTACTTTCTCAACCTCGTTTCAGATCTACCCTCATATTTCTCAAAAAAACTAACAAAAAACCTAAATCGAACCCTTTCCCAACTGAAAACCCTAATCTCAGAATCAACCAAAATCAGCACAACAAAGCAAAATACACACAAATCAAGTTATGCGAAAGCAGTTAAAGCACATAAAAACCAACGACACATGCAGGGAGACTCAGATTCGAAGAGGAAGTGAAGGACAAGATTTACCTCTTGGAGAACAAACCTCTGATGGTGCTCAGGTACTCTAACCTTCCTCTCTGCGCTCTAATTCATTCTTTACGCTTCTTCTCTTATTCTTTGTTGTTGTTATTTCTTTGTATATGATTATTTCTGTGAGTGGTTACGAGATCAAGTTTGTTTTAGTCTAAATGTGAGATTCAATCAACCTTAGAAATTGAGCTTTAGTGGATTTAGGCTTCTTGCAAAGTAGCCTCCTCTTAGGGTTTTTTAGGTGTATTCCCCTCCTCCTTGTTTTATATGAACAATATCAAATATATATAGGAGCTTGATACGTGTGAATTAAGGTATAATTCAGAGCAATACGTGTGATTCCCTTAGGGAAAAGGGTGAGGTGTCCTGTTTGCAAAATCAAGCCGTTAGAGATTGTACCACCCTGAATATGTGTGATTGTGCGTGTGAATCATTCTCCCTGCTGCGAAATTTTGCATTTTGTCCTTTTGTGAACTGTGGTCCCTACTATGAGCATATGCCTCGTTGTGAAAAGTCATTTGTAGTATGCTAATATCTGCTGTTTGCATTTGTGACTCGTGAATTTGGGTACCAACTTGTGTATGCTGCTTGCTAACACCTGAAAATTATGCTTATGAATTTTGACATGCTTCCATTGTTCATGAAATTGTCTTGATTTTAACATTGTGTGCCATAATTTAGGTCTGCCAGTGCCATGCTAGATAGATTTGGTCTTGATTTAGCTTGTGTATCATGTGTCAAATACCTTGTTTTATGACTTTGAATTTGAATATGGCCTTATATGTCAATTTATTCTTCTGCCACTTCTACATTTTCTTATATGACTATCAACCTGTTTCTTTTAACTTTTACATCACGTATTTGCTTGCGTATTTGTAACTTTATTCCAGTTTTGTGTGCTTTCCATGAGGACAATGAGAAAACTCAATGGTAAGCATGGCATTGGTGTCTTAACAGAAGGGGTCTGGATGCAACGAACTTGGAACGAATTGTGGAGCTGGCTTCTTGGAGGTAAATAACGTTTTTTGTATGTTGGTGAAACATTGCTCTTTGGCAAGAATACCATGTTCATCATTTTTGTGATTTGGAAATGGGAAACCCTTAAATGACTATATCATTAGCATAGTTTGAAATTAATTAGCATAGTTTGAAATTAATTGGTAGCCTTGAGAAATGACCATAACTGATGATTAATGCTTGTGGCTTGATTTTTGGAACAAAAATGGTCATGAAACATATTTGACATTGTAATTTGAATGAGATTTTAATGGTGATATCATTTTGTAGCTTGGCTTGACACGAGACATGGAGTTTGACATGAAGACTTCCTTTGAAGATTTGGAATGAAGAAGAGGTGGAGAGCTATTTGGGAAGTGACTAGACCATGGGCTAACTTGGCATGACAGCGAAGATACTCAAAGATCACTCATGAAGAGTTTGGGCAGAAACTCGAGTATAAAATCTTCAGCACATGTTGATGAAGTTTCAACACATGGTCATGGAGGATTTGCAATGATATTTTTCCACTTAGGCCTTGTAGACTTTAAGCGTCATTTTGGTCTTGAAACATGTATGTCAAGAGTTTTGAATTCAAATCAGTATGATGCCTTGGTATGAATTTTAGTGAGAACTTTAGGATTCACTGTTGTGGGAATAAAAATTGAAGTCTTGTAGAACATATATCCTTGAAAGGGACCTTACAACTCATATCAAGAAGCTCCCTATCTCATGGCTTTGAACTTCACCTTAGTGTAATACCCTTTTGTAACTAGTACCCTGTCTTGGATTTTGGTGTTTCTCTTGTAATAAACAAATAGCATTGTCCCCAATTAGAGGCTTAATGCTCTTGATATGTTATATAACACCGAGATCCAAGTTAGCTTGAAACATTTCATAACTTGAAAATAACATCACCGTATTTTGAAGAAAAAAAATTGACTTTCAATTTGAAATCACTAATCTGCAACGAAACCCAAAGAATAACTTTCAACTTCAACTTGCAACTTGATGCTAATACTTTCCAATGTATCATAAGGCACTTCACATATGTCCCGGATAAATGACTTGAGTGATGGCTTAGAAACTAATTTGCAACAAAATAAATCAAAGTCCTAGAGCTTTAAACAATCACATAGCTTACTTTATAGCTTGATAACAACATCATATGGCTTAAGAAAACTCACTAGGAACCAACCAATCATGCTATGGCTAATGAGGATATAGTCTCCCTTTAAACTCACCTAATTTCAATATAACTTGCAAAAGGCCAATGGTTTTAGACAAACCCATACAAAACCCACCCCCATGTGAAATTTCAAAGAATCATGGTTAAAGGTCATACGACCATCTAGAGAAAGATCATGAGTCCCCACAAATGTTTAGTATAAGAAAATTAAAAAGTAGGACAAATTTAGAGTATGACAATGACGTCTTCATCTGGAAATTCAAACTTCATTGGTTGATAGTCTTCAATTGGCTATTCAACAAGATATTTCGACATAACACTTCCCTTAAAGGCCTTTTGGGGAACATACTGGATATCATACTCTGTCAGAACCATTTGTCATTTGGTGATCTTTTCGGAGAGTGCTTGCTTTTTAAACATGTACTTGATCGGATCCATCTTTGAAATAAACAGGGTTGGGTGGTTTAACATGTATTGTCTCAAACGCTTAGCCGGTCAAGCGAGTGCCAACATGTTTTTTCTAGCATCGAGTACCTCGACTCAAAATCAGTGAATTTCTTACTTAGCTAGTAGATGGTGTGCTCTTTTCTACCTGTCTCGTCTTGTTGATCAAGCACACATCCCATTGAATTCTCAAGAACCGTTAGGTACATGATCAGACGTCTCTCTGCTACTACAGGCATGAGTATTGAAGGTTCTTGCAAATACTCTTTTATTTTTTCAAATGTCTTTTGGTAATTTTCATTCCACCTGCCCGTTTGATCTTTTCTTAACAGTTTAAATATTGGCTCGCAAGTGGTTGTAAGATGAGATATGCACCTTGCAATGTAGTTCAATCTCCCTAGGAAACCACAAACCTCTTTTTCTGTTCTCAGCTCAAGCATTTCTTATATAGCTTTGACTTTGGCAAGATCTACCTCAATATCCATTTCACTGACAATGAACCCCAGTAGCTTTCAAGATCTCACCCCGAAGGTGCACTTGTTAGGATTCAGCCTCAGCTTGAATTTCCTCAGCCATTTAAACAACTTCAGAAGATTTACCAGATGTTCATCCTCCGTTTGTGACTTCGCAATCATGCCATCAACATAGACCTCGATCTCTTGATGAATCATATCATGAAAGAGAGTCACTTTCGTCCGCTGATAGGTTGCCCCAACATTTTTCAATCCAAAGGACATCACCTTGTAGTAAAAGGTCCCCCACGGTGTAATGAAAATAGTTTTCTCCATGTCCTCTAGGCCCATCTTGATTTGGTTATACCCATAGAAGCGATCCATGAAGGAAAACACATAATATTGAGCGGTGTTATCAACCAACACGTCAATATGGGGGAGCGGGTGAAGGTGAGAAAAATACTTAGAGGGGGGGGGGGGGGTTGAATAAGGGTTTTAAAAGACTTTTGAAGATAAAAATTAACACAAATATTTTTATCCTGGTTCGTTTGAACTTAAACTAATCCAGTCCACCCTACCCAGGTGATTTGCCTTTCTCAACAAGGACTTAATCCACTATATCAAACTTGATTACAGTGTCAACCACTAAGACAACTGTCTTAGTCTTCTCAAGAAAATCTAACCACAACTTGGCACAAAAGAATGACAGAGAAAAACGAATAAGATAAAACAGATAGAAACAGAAACCAAACAGATACATTGATAAACAAAGTATTCAGAGGAAAACAAACATAAGAAACATAAGCAGAACAAACATATTGTGCATAAACAATCAGAAAAACAACTAAGGTTGACGAGAGATAATCATCTTCAGAAGGTTTGTGATCTCAGAAGTAGACTGTTCTTACCTAGTCATCCATGTCTTAATCTCATCTGTTGTCTGTTCTTGTTTGACCATCCAAGATCTGATCTCTGTGTTGTTGGCTTCAAGCTTAGCAAACTTTTCTTCAGATATGGATCCTCTTTCTTGACTTCAGAAGATGCAGGAGCAGATTCAAATGCAGTCTCAACAACCATAGCATATGCAGTCTCTTGAATCACTGAGTCAGAAGCTTGATTCAGAACCATCAGAGCATATTGATTTGACACAAGAGTTTCTTCAGCAACAGACACTTCTGGAGGAGCATCTTCAGACTTAGATTCTTCAGCAGGTGCATTGTCCAGAGGAAGAATTGGAGGTCTACTCATATTCAGAAGAGTTTGTCTGATAACTTCAGCAAATCTCACCTTTGCGTCATCAGAGCAAATGGTGCGAAGGTTTGAAGCTACAGAATTAAATCTTGAAATGAATCTGTTCCAAGAGGCTTCAGAAGCATCTGGGTTCACACTAGACAAGCATTCTTTCTTGACAGAAGATATCCACATGTTAAATTCCTTTTTGAAACCATCAAATAAGGTACCAACATCCATTCTAGGTTTTGGTTTCAGAAAGTTTTCTAGAGAGGGTGTTTTGGTGGTTTCAGATGAGGAGGGTATGTAAAAAGAAGGAATGATGAAAAGAGGACGAGGATATGGTGTAGAGGGTTATGTAATAGTCTTTGGTTTAACAGAAGGAATGACATCAGAAGGCATGGTACAAAATGGAACAAAAGCTGATGTAGGTTTTGGAGTTGGTTGAGAAAGGATAGGTTCAGATGGAATGGATACATCTGGTTGTCTGGGTTCATAGCCACGGAGTGAAGGGGGTGAGGTCACTTCTAGAGGTAAATCATATTCAGTAGAATCAGATGATGCAGAAGAGTGACATGATGTTGAGGAAACATCAAAAAGAATTTTTAAGGGTTGTACGTCAAGGACATCAGAATCAGGTATAAATGATTCAGAAGTTTTAGGTTGTTATGGTTGAGGATCAGAAGGAATGGGTTCTTCTGGTTATGGGTTAGAAGTTTGTGGTTTTGGTGGGGGAATTTCAGAAATATGTTTGTCAGATGGGTGAGGTTGAGATACAGAAGTTTGTTTGGGTTTATGTATATAAGGAATGGGTTCAGATGTTTCTGGTTCAGAGGGAATGGTTTCAGATGCATGAAGAGGAGACGGTGAGGGTATAGGTTCATAGATAGGGGGATCAAATGTTAGTACCTCTTTGACAGTTTCTAAGATGGAATCTAAACTAGCCTCAGGAGGATTACCTTTTTGCTTCTTGACCCTCTTTGGTTTAACAGAAGCTGCTCCACCAGAAGCTTTCCTCTTTGGTTTTGAAGATCCTTCTTCTGAAACTTTCCTTTTCTTCCTGTGTCTGTCTCCATAAAAATCTGGTTCAGGTTCACCTGCTTTCTGAACCAGATGTTCTGGTAGAGGAGTTCCATCTGATAGACAAGTTGCTATATATTCCAAAATAATTTCCCTAGGTTCATTAGCGTAGAACAGAGGAAAGTTATCTACTGGTATCCTTCTTTTGCTGACCTCTTCAGAGTTGATCTGTTTTGGTGCAGAAGTGAGTTCTTCTACAACCTTCATCCTCTGAAGACTTTTCCCATTCATAGCTTTTCCAACCACAAAAGCTAATTCGTCCTTCAATCCTGCTTATATCAGATGTCCAACCAAACCATTTTCAGTCAGAATATCTGAGATGAGTATTCCCATTGGTATCCAATTTCTCATCTTCTGATGAGTCTTCCCTTGATTGTTTTACGTGATTCCATAGATGATTGAAAAGTAGATAAGGTAGATCCATTTTTGTGTTCTGACTCAGACAATACATGAAGTACATCTGATCAGTGTTGACATAATCAGGAGAGTTTGAAGACTTCCTGTGATGAATACATCCCATAAAGATCTTAGCCCAGATCCTGTAGTTTGGCTTCAGATCTTTCACTTTGTTAGAAGCTTCTCTAGATGAGCAAACTTCACTGTAAACTTCTGTCATATCAATACACCCAACTGGCAGATTTGTAACACCATCAGTTTCTTCATAACCTATAAGCTTCCTGATCAAATCCTTAGTTATGATGATTTCCTTACCCAGAACTGATGAAACAATAAACTTAGGGTATGTAGTAGCATGAATCCAAAGTTCTTTCACTAAGCATGGATAAACTGGTCTCATCAGTCTATCAAAGAACTTTGTCCAACCTTGAGCATCAACAATAGGACGAAGATCAAACCCATTTTCTGCAATTGATTCAAAGTTCACGATAGATTCACACAAAACTTCAAGTTTGTCAACCAGTGTGAG